AAAAAAAGATCATTTGTGGGCAGATCATTTTATATCTGAATTCCCAAGTAAACCCTGTTACATGTATATTTACATTCTTTGCACATCTCTTTAGCACTTTAATGCACAACCTGCACATGATTTTTAGTTTGCTTATATGTCAGCTCTTTGTGCTATTTTGCGCATTATTAATTTCTTGCATTCTGTTGCATATTTTGCACAGGATATTGTGTAACAATATATTTTTTATTTTTGTTTGCACATAAATAGGCGCAGTTATGTATGGAATAGATATATTTATTATTATTATACAGGATATTTTATTTTATTATTGAGCACTGCACTTTAATATCTATTTAAGACTTGCACTTTGTATTATGGTATAGTGCTAGAGGCTGTTCTTTGGGTATTTTGTGTTTACACTTTTAGCCCTAGCACAATTTTTGGGGGTTTTTGATGTTTATTGATTTGATTTTAAAAAAAACTTACTTTTAAAACTGCTTTAAAAGATCCCTTGCCCCAGCATGATAACTATTGTAGTTATACCACTATTAGAATTTAAATAGTTACTTGAATGTGTTCTAATTGTGTATGAAAGCCTTACAGTTTGACTGCTATTGTAACTATTTTTTGGCACTCATTTTCAAAAATCTGAATAAGAAATAGTGATCAGATTGATGCAGACATGTTTTCCAGGAGCCGTGAATTAAATGATTGCTCTTGACATCTGACTGATTAAATGACTGGATGAAAAACCTATGCATGCATCGTCATCCTCATTCCATTTCCTTCTGGGAAAACCACATTACTTTTGGACTCAAGAAGATCTTAAAAATTTAGGTCTGCCATGTTTTAAAGTGTTACAAAACCCAGGACCCTGCATTCACTATATCTGGTCTCCCACAGTACACAGAACATGGAAATGCAATTATTTTAGTAAATATAAACTGCTAAATACCTTTTCTCATCAGCAGTCAGAGCAGTCTTGTGACTTCAGCAGAGCACTGGTTAAAGCTTGTAGGAGGACTTTTCTTCTGCTCTAGGAGGATGCAGAACCCCTGACCTCTGTCTGGACAGTGCTGATTGGCACTGTGCTGATCACATGTACTCTCCCAAGAAAAGAAAAAACCTTGGCAGCAATACACACTAAACTGAGCATGTGGATGTGACTACGGGTTCAGTTTGTCTTATCAGGTGGACATTTGAACAAGAGGAGGGGCAGACCAAACACCCTTTTTACACAATGCAGAGGATTAACCCCTTAGGTTCCACAGTGCAAGCATGCTTTACTGCATATACAGGCTGATTTTACTGTTGTGGGTTTAGTCACACTTTAATCATCAGCCCATTAATGTAAATGTACAAATAATATGACAATGAGCTACAAAACATTGTAATTTATAGGGATTCTTTCTGACTGTAGGCAAATTATGACCATTCAGACAGGGAGACTGTAACAGAATATAATGTATGTCCCAAGGTCAGTGTGCAGGGAAAACAATTACAACTTTGGAAGACCTGTATATGACAACTACTTGTGGGTATGGGAAGGGAGGGATAGTAAAACACTGGTATACCTTACACCAGGCATGTCCAAAGTCCGGCCCGCGGGCCATTTACGGCCCGAGGGTCGGTTTAATACGGCCCTCCATGTCAGTGTGTCAGTGTGTCTTATGGAGCGAATATGGAGTCTCTGGTCATCCCTGTGCTGTCCGCAGTCTCTGGTCATCCCTGTGCTGTCCCTGTGCTGTCCGCAGTCTCTGGTCATCCCTGTGCTGTCCGCAGTCTCTGGTCATCCCTGTGCTGTCCGCAGTCTCTGGTCATCCCTGTGCTGTCCGCAGTCTCTGGTCATCCCTGTGTGCTGTCCGCAGTCTCTGGTCATCTCCTGTACTGTGTCTGCAGTCCATTAGTTCAGAATTTTTTTTTTTTTCCTGTTTTCTGCCTCTAAAACCTAGGTGCGTCTTATGGTCAGGTGCGTCTTATACGGCGAAAAATACGGTAACTTGGCATAAAATAATTTATTTGCATTTAATTGTAATGGTTCAAAGAATGTTTGGAAAAATGTTCGGCCCTCCACCATGTTCACTTCATCCAATCTGGCCCTCTTTGAAAAAAGTTTGGACACCCCTGCCTTACACCCTATGAGACATAGACATGACGCAGAGCTTATTCAGTAAAGCAAACTAAAGCCCTGCACATGAAGTGCTGAACCTAAAGCAACACATCATAATTCATATTGTTCTCCTCTTACTTCAAAAACGTGAATTTTTATTGGTTGGTTATCCTTATTAATTGTTAAATAATTAGTATGAATGAATTCATTAATAATTATTATTGGTTTGCTACACTCTCTGCATTGTTCTATGCACTGTTTATTGGATAAGCCTGTTGATATGCATGATATGTCTACTTTGGACTTTGTCTTGTTTGCCTGTATTGTTCTGGTTTATCTGGAGGACATTGGAATTTGTAAAGTGGTTTATAAAGATTTAAGACATTTCCTTTATTTTATTCAAGCAAGATTAATTGCTTTTATATAAATCAAAGAATTGGTTTCATTAACTTGTATAGTATAGTACATGTGTGAAAAGTATGAATGGAACAAATAGAATTTTATCTGGTTAACCAGTTTGGGGCATCAGGCTTGCTTTTAGTAGTCACATCCTTATGCTAAAGAAGGTCTCTGTTCTTATGTTTCGTTGGAAGCCTTTACTGCATCTGTCTTGCTGATGTGCTTGCTAACACACTAAGGCAATACACTTATATACAACAGTGAATACAGAGGTAGTGGGGACATCAATGTAAAAACATTTTCCCTTTTTATCAATAGGCTGTTACAACATATCCCCTACAACACCTATGTTCCCTCACGTGCAAACTGTTGATAACCACATACACACAAAGACGTTTTTATGCATCCTTCAGAGAAGGTTGGGTAGCCAAATGAAGTCTCAACAACCTTTGTAATTATGTTTTCCATTAAATTTATGAGGAAAGACATGAAAGTTCTGGGGGTTTTTTAAAGGTAATCTAAAAAAAAACAATCTTGCTAAACTGAAATCTCAAGAATTATACAAATGGACAGTCTGCAACTTTAGTGTTTTTAATTTTTACTGCAACACTCACCAATTTCTCGATGTCTTCATGGGCTTGCTTTAACTCCGTTTTGATTGCCAGTATAGATTCATTTTGTCATTAATCTCTGTCTGTAAGTGCTGAAAAGATGCAAACATACATACAGTCAGGGGCTTATTTACCACAAGGCAAACAAGGCATTTGCCTAGGGCAGCATTTTTCAGGGGGGCAGCACTGGCCCCTGGAATAAGAGACGGAAGAAGGGACACACGTGGCATGGGGACCAGGTGGGAACCGAGACAGACTGCAGACTGCTGAACGGTGTATGTAGAGCCCAACTCTCATTCCCAGGATTGTTCGGAGCAGTGAAAGTGAGTGTCTTCTCTCTCTTGCCAAGGGGTTGAGCGTCTGGTGCATGGCAGGTGATGATAGTGATGGCTCTCTTGGGCGGGGGGATAGGAGTGTTGTTGGTCAATGGCAGTCTCTCTCCACAGGCAAGGGGGGGATGGTGTTTGTCGGTGTCAAACTCTCTCCATGGGGGAGGGGGGTGGCTGCCAATATTTGTGTTGTCTAGGGCAGCACAAAATCTAAATACACCACTGCATACAGTATCACATGAAGTTCAGGCAGATGTGAAAAGCACCAGTTAATACATCTCATTTAATAATAATCAACAACATAGATCTTGAAATGTAACTAGTGTGAGCCCCAATTGATATCAGCCTTTTGTGATCCTCTGCAAAGCAGAGCTGGGAATGGAAAGGGCAAAGCAGTGCTAGGAGCCAGTCAGTTGTGCTGCAATATACTACATGTGCACACAAGAAGGATCTTGACAGATGGAGAGAACATAGTGAGCACATGAGAATCAAACTCTTGCTGCTCCTTCTCTGTCAAATCACTGGCTAGGGTCAGGGAGTTGACCTAGCTGTATTGCCCTTAACTGCACCAGAGAAAAGTCAGGGCCCATCCTTGGTGTGCTGAGTGGTGTATTTAGGTTTTGTGCTGTCCTAGGCAACACAAAAATTGGCAAGACACCAATACCAACCCCCCCCCCCCCCCCTGCAGAAAGAGCCTGACATTGACCAAGAGCACCCCTGCCCTCCACCCAAGCCTTCCACTACCACTGCCCCCCATCCCACCACCATCCCCCATGGTGAGAGAGAGAAAGACACTCACACTCAGTTCACAGCTCCAGACATCCCCAGGAACGAGAGTCGGGCTGTGCAAACATCGTCATGAAACCCACAGTATCTCTCAGAACTCATTAAGTCCCCATGCCGTGTGTGTCCCTCCTTCCGTCCCTTCTTCCAAGGGGCAGTGCTGCCCCCCCCCCCCCCCCAGCAAATGCCTTGTTTGCTTTTTGGTAAATACACCCCTGGGTGTGTTATCTTGCTAGCTCTTTGTAAATCTTAGGACTGGCTGAACAGGAATGCAAATTCCTTATCATGCAAAACAGCTATATGCACAGTATTTCAACAGCATATTTAGCCGTTTATATACAGTGTATAATTATTACATGTTGAACAAAAATACAACCAAAAGGCAAACACCTAATCAAAACTGTACATTGACTGTGTAAATGGTAAAACACCTGAAATTAATCAAATGTAAATTAACACAAAAAACTATTAGAAAACAAGTCAGGGGTCTATACTAAAATTTGTATACCAACAAACAAAAGATATAGTATAACAAGACTGAACACTAAAAGTGCTAGCAAAGTATTCCCTCTTCAGGACAGCACTGATGCAGGCCTTCACAGCAAAGTTGGTACTGTTGCTAACAATTAACAGTTATGCACGTGGAGACATTTTATTACCATTTTCAACACATTCAGCATCTTTGTTTCTTGAGTAGCTTCTCTGTATTTCTTCCAGACTTCCTGCAAGAACAATATTAACACTATCACTTGAAACAAACCAAAGCATATAAAGGGTGGGAACCAGGGGCGGACTGACCATTTGGGAACTCGGGCATCGCCCGAGGGCCCTGTCTCAGTAGGGGGCCCCATGAGATGCCCCTGGCACCTTTTCATAGGCTTTTTTGGGTGTGGTTTGATTGTGGGCGAGGACACAGGAGCCCCATGATCCCCTATTGCCCGGGGGCCCCATGAGGTGTCAGTCCACTCCTGGTGGGAACTACAGTGGAGAGTGAAATGCAATCAAGAGCAAGGTATGATGAGGGATGTCTCTGTATACCAGTTGATAAAGATTGTGAAACATAATATGCTAAAATTTTCTCCTGTATTGTGGAACAATTCACTGAACAGTCATTGAAGGAAACCTGCTAAAAGCTAAAGAGGGGTTGCCATTCTGACCCTCCTTAAGTTCTTGCTGCATGGCTGACACTGCTTTTAGAAACAAACATGCAGCAACATCAGAATTCCTGGACCTTTAAAATAAAATATTTGTACTCAACGTAAAATCACTTTCTTGTCTTTTATACTTTGTGTAATATTCCTGCCTTCAAAAGGATTGGACACTGGCAAACAAAAAAAAACTGTAGGCCTGCCCAGCATAACCCCTGCCACTATCAGGGTGTCTGTTTGTATCGTGGTCATTAAAAAAAAAGGTTTAACTTGTGTCCCCAATGGATTCCAAGAAAAGTACTTTACGGTGAGTCTTTAACCTGCCATATGTCCAAAAGCAGTCTAATTGAAGGGTGGGAAATACAGTAAACAAACAATAAGGCCCAAGAAAATAGTTAACTGAGAATAGTTTGCAGCTCAATATCTGCCTGAAGGACCTTACATATAAAGCTGACACTAGATGAGGCTAAAACGTCCACCTGGTAGAACTTGTGTGAACAGGAAACCAGGTGGCAGCCTTGTAAATCTGGGGAACAGTTGCTTGACGTCAAAAAGCCTCAGAAGCATTCACAGGATGCTAGCAAAAAAATAGATTCATTGGAAGGGTGGTCCTGGGCTGGTCCACAGTTTTGGGTTTGCCAGTGTCCATTCCTCCTGTAGGCAGCATGATAAACCAAAGATTAAGAACTTCCTAGGTCCATCAATAACTGAGAAAGAAAAAGAACTTACTAATAATTGAGTTGCAAAATTAAAATAGGTCTACAGGAAAATGTATGTATTGCAGCTAAATACCTGTTTTAGCCTTCAATTCCTATATTCCTGTGTAACCCCTTCAATCCAAGGCCCAGGTTATATACAGGGGCATGACAGGTGACTCTATAGTAAAAAGTTTTCAAAAAGTCTTAGCTGTAAAGAAAACTGTTAATGCATTTTTCCATATTATGTCCATTTTCTTAAAGTGGTTCTGAACCCACAACAGGGAAATCAGTCTGTATATGCAGTAAAGTGTGCTTGTTATACTCACTGTGGAACCTAACGGGTTAACCCCCAACATTGTGTAAAAAAGGCTGTTTGATCCTGACTTCTCTGATCCTCCCCTTTTTCTATTGTCCCCAATCCATCTGCTGATAGTTTATAGCCCTAGGAGGCACTCTGTACATTCTCAGTTCGGTGTGCATTGCTAGCTTTTTTTTTGGGTGAGTGCATGTGATCAGCACAGGACCAATCAGCACTATCCAGACAGAGGGTCAGGGGTAAAGCAGCCACAAAGGACAGTCAGAGGTGAATGAAAACTTCTCCTATAAGCTTTAACCATTGCTCAGCAAGACACTGATAAAAGTCACAAGACTGCTATATACTGGTGATAAGAAAAGGTATTTAGCAGTTTATATTTACTAAAATAATTGCATTTCTGTGTTCTGTGTACTGTGGGAGACCAGATATAGTGAATGCAGGGTCCTGGGTTTAGTAACACTTAATCTCATGTTATTTGTTTTTGATTTTTTTTTTTTTCTGTTTCTTCGAAATGTTACCTCTTTACCATTTCTTTTTCAGTTTTTTCTATACTTTTTTCCTTTTATTATTTTTATATGTCTTGCACTTTTCTTCCTTGAAGCTTCTTGTATTCTGTGTTTTTTTTTATTCTGAACTTCCCGTTTCTTGTGTATCACTCAGATTCATACTTTTACTTATTAATTTATTTTTTATGGTTTTACTATCCCCATCTTTTTGCACCTTACATTGTCTGCACTAGCATTACAGTGTGCCTGGCCATGAATATTATTCCTAATGGGGTTGATTTAATAAAACTGGAGAGTGCAAAATCTGGTGCAGTTGTGCATTGTTGCCAATCAGCTTCTAACTTCAGCTTGTTCAGTTAAAATTTTACAAAAAAATGGAAGCTGACTGGTTTCTATGCAGAGCTGCACCAGATTTTGCACTATCCAGTTTTAGTAAATCAACCCCAATATTTAACTGTTGTCATAAAGCTCTATAATTGCCAGATTTTCATAGTTTAGATTTAAATGCTGCACTTTATTGTTCTGCTCCAAACAGCTTACTTCAATCTGTGCTTCATGGCTCTGTTGTATCATGGCTTGTTCTTCCAAGGCTCTTTTCTGTATTTCCTTTTTCTGTATCTCAAACGTATCCATCAGTGACTGTCCTGTTGAACAAATTGTGAAAAACGTTTAATTTCAGTCATAAAGATTATGCTGTGTACAAGAGAGATGCATTTTTAACAGCTATTTTCTCTACAGTGGTTTACAACCAATAGCTTATAAGGAACCGAGATGTAGAATAATGCTAATAGAGCAGAGGGATAGGGCACCTCTGGCTTCAAGATCTGTATCTTGAATGGGAAGTAGACTGGCTGCCTACGAGGTATCATTGTGGTAGATGAAAGTTGGGGTTGCTCCACCCTATCCACAGATCTCCTGCATTGAGGCAGGCATGCATTCCAACCACCAGTGGCTTTGGTAATGACAGTGTCAAGGGTGGGTATAAAAAAATGACTTTTTTTGAAGGGCAGTTAATATCCTCTGCATCCCAGAAATGTACAGTTGCAAGAAAAAGTATGTGAACCCCTTGGGATTACGTGGAGTTTTGCATGAATTGGGCATAAAATGTGCTCTGAACCTCATCTAAGTCACAACAATAGAAGAACACAGTCTGCTGAACATAATACTACACAAACATTAGATGTTGCCATGGTTTAATTGCACATAACATGTAAACATTCACAGTGCAGGGAGGAAAAAAGTATGTGAGGCCCTAGCTTAATGACTTCTCCCAGAGCTAATTGGAGCCAGGAGTGAGCCAACCTTGACTCCAATCAGTGTGATGATATTGGATGTGTTGCTGACAGCTGTCCTGCCCTTAAAAAACACACACCTGTTTTGGGTTTACTGGTTTCAAGAAGCACTGTCTGATGTGAACCATGCCTCGCAGAAAAGAGCTCTCAGAAGACCTACCATCAAGAATTGTTGACTTGCATGAAGCTGGAAAGGGTTACAAAAGTATCTCCAAAAGCCTTGATGTGTCATGTGTCCACGGTAAGACAGACTGTCTACAAATGGAGAAAGTTTAGCAGTGTTGCTACTCTCCCTAGGCGCGGTCGTCCTATAAAAATGACTGCAAGAGCACAGCTCAGAATGCTGCATGAGGTAAAGAAGAATCCCAGAGTGTCAGCTAAAGACCTACAGAAATCTCTGGCACATACTAACATTTTTGTTGACACATCTACAATAAGGAAAACATTAAACAAGAATGGAGTACATGGGAGGACACCACGGAGGAAGCCATTGCTGTCCAAAAAGAATATTGCAGCACGTTTGAAGTTTGCAAAAGAGCACCTGGATGTTCCACAGCACTACTGGCAGAATATACTGTGGACAGATGAAACCAAGATTGAGTTGTTTGGGAAGAACACATAACACTATGTGTGGAGAAAAAAAGGCACAGCACACCAACATCAAAACCTCATCCCCACTGTGAAACATGGCGGAGGGAGCATCATGGTTTGGGGCTGCTTTGCTGCCTCAGGGCCTGGACGGAGTGTTGTCATTGATGGTAAAATGAATTCCAGAGTTTATCAAGACATTTTGCAGGAAAACGTATGACCATCTGTCCACCAACTGAAGCTCCGCAGAGGATGGGCGATGCAACAGGACAATGACCCAAAGCATACAAGTCATTCAACAAAACAAGGGCTGCAACAGCACAGAATACACCTTCTGGAGTGGCCCAGTCAGAGTCCTGACCTCAACCCCATTGAAATGCTGTGGCATGACCTTAAGAGAGCGATTCACACCAGACATCCCAAGAATATTGCTACACGGAAACAGTTTTGTGAAGAGGAGTGGTCCAAAATGACTCCAGATCGTTGTGCAGGTCTGATCTGCAACTACAGGAAACGTTTGGTTGAGGTTATTGCTGCCAAAGGAGGGTCAACCAGTTATTAAGTCCAAAGGTTCACATACTTTTTCCTCCCTGCATTGTGAATGTTTACATGTTATGTGCAATTAAACCATGGCAACATCTAATGTTTGTGTAGTATTATGTTCAGCAGACTGTGTTCTTCTATTGTTGTGACTTAGATGACGTTCAGAGCACATTTTATGCCCAATTCATGCAAAACTCAACGTAACCCCAAGGGGTTCACATACTTTTTCTTGCAACTGTAGCACATGAACAGGTCCATGTGATTAGGGGTCCAAATTTTGATGCATAGCGACATGGTTTTCCAAATCAAAGTTACCACTAACAGTGGATGGAGAGTTATACTAGTTAATATACACTGAGAGTAAGGAGTCTGTCAGTTGGGATGAAATCCTGAAAGGTAAGAACACCATCAACCTGTTTGGTTATATGATTGCTAAAGTGGAACAATCACTGAAACATCCCCTTTCAAAGGTAAAAAAGCTCCATCACATTGTCAGGAGTATTCCGGGATTCTATATGTTGTTTCTAATTAGATTCTGACATGGATGGGCTGCTTCCTCTTATTCAGTACCTGCCCCAATAACTCTCAATTATCTTACTTTAAATGGAAAAAAGTGGAAGTAGAGAAGTACTTCTTGCTTGACATAAAAAAAATGAGACTTCCTCAAGTTACTTAAAGTGGACTTCCACCTAAAAAAAAAATTAAAGTCAGCAGCTACAAAAACTGTAGCTGCTGACTTTTAAATTACAACCACTTACCCGTCCCTTGGTCCAGCAGTGTCCTCAACACAGCTGGTTCCACCTGCCGTCTTCTCTCCCTGGCACCGGTATCTTCAGTGTGGGCACCCGGCTGTGAGAGCC